AATTCGTTGTCAAGAGAACTCAAAAACGTGACCGTCTGCTAAAAAAACATCACGTCTCTTGTCTTAAGAGATGAATCCTTGTATCATATTCGGAGTCAGCGTTCGAAACCTAGTCGAATGATATACCTTTTTATCCTATCCGATCACTTTTATGGGCACAATTTCGATGTTTTCGATCCTGGTTTAGAAAAAGTGAAATTTCTCAACAGAAAGGAAGAAATCAGAAATCTGCATACGTAATTTTGTTCTTTGACGGCGGAGAAACAAGGCTTCATCTCTTAAGACAAGACACGTGATGTTTTTTTAGCAGACCGTCACGTTTTTAAGTTCTCTTGACAACGAATTTTGTCCCATCCGCTTCGTAATATGCGGAAACTTCAAAACTACATTTGCATATGCAGTTTGCAATGGTGATTCAGAAAAAAAATGTTTCAACGCTCCAAAATGCAATAAGAAAAAGCTATCGTCGTTCTTCTCGAAGGGCGAATTTTCTCGAGTTTAGCATCCTTCCCGTATTTTCTCGGTTTTCACCATGAGGAAAAGATCTGGAAAGGTTTTAAAGATGATTTTCGGATTCAGCTCGCTCTCCTCTATCCAACCATGTGTAAATATTGAGAAAATAAAATAATGTCGTAACTTTGAATTAGCGACGCCTTACATGCCGGGATATACCTCTATTCATCATTTTTCTGTACGTCTGAGGGGTAGCACGTCTTGAAAAAATTTGGAATCTACTCAGCCGTGGTGAGACTTCTTCTACCCAAGATCTTGGAAATTCTGAAATCATCGTTTTGTTTTTTACTCTTGTTAAACCACACATACTTAAGTAAAAAATGTAAATTGCCACACTTCAAGTCATAAATGGAACCAAAATGTAAAGAAAATTTTCCAAAATGGAAAAGTTTCTTTACATTTTGATTTCATTTATGACAGTCATAGTCAACAGATATACGACCGTGTAGAATCACAAGCTCTTCCTTAAACAACTATGCTCAAGAAGGAACAAAATTCGAAGTTATTCTGAGTGTAAAAATATTCACACTTATAATTTTCACAAGGGTGTCAAACAAAACAATGATTCAAGAATTTCCAAGACCTTGGATACGAGATTCAATCACTCAAGACCTCAATCAAGATCTTGGTACAAGAAGTCAATAAATTTTAAGAAGTTCGAGATCGTGGGCTCTTGAAATGAAATTCTTTCAAGGTTCTGACAGGATTCTCTTCAGAATCTAACGGTGTTGCAGCCTGAAATCTTTTAAACAAGAGCTTAGAAAGGTCTGTAAGCTTTTCTGAAAATTAACACAATCATCGCACTTTTTTTATCACCGTTTTGTTTTCCTGCTTCCAAGATCTTCACTGAAGATTTTTCTCCAGGAGGTTTAATGCTTCTATCTGCACTCGTTCTTGCATTAATTTCACGTAACATTCTGGCTTCATTTTTTAATTCATTAAGAAAAAGGACGAAAAATATACATCATTTGAATTAAACTTTGTGTTTGAATGTACCATTCAAACAGGGTGGAAGTATAAGAGCGGGTTTTAAAGTAATAGGCTGTCCGGGCTCAATTGTATACGAAGACTAAAGCAAACACAAAGGGCTCATTTGTGTTCGAAAGAGTAGATAATTTATAATTTTTGAATTCCGGATTCATTTCTGTCTTTTTGTGACTAATGAATCATTCTGGGCTCAAAGAACTACATCAAATGATATATAAGTATCTAATTAATTAAATGATTTATTATATCGTCACCAGAGGGACGCGACATCTTTCGAACTGTTTTATTTGGTGTATTATACACGAATGGAAAAGTATGAATCAATAATAATACATAGTTAATTAGTTCGATAAGCTTAGCTACACACCGTGTTGTGTAACATAACATAAAGCGAAGTGCAAAAACTCTATATGATAGTTAAACACATTTTTGAGTTAATTTTTGCGTTTAGCTTATCTAAACCCTTCGAAATGGTATTGAATCATATTGCTCGTTCCTTGTTTTCTAGCTGATCTTTTGCGACTGGACATTTAATTTAAATATAATAAGAATGAAATACCAACCAGTTTGTACAAAAATCCCTGTCGATACCGACATTCTTTTTAATCATGACTGTCCACCAAATTCTTCACAAAACTAAATAAAACATTGGTAAAAGTCAATTCGAGTAGAAACTATAGAAAACATCTCTGGAAAAATTTTCTCTCTGAGATTTCTAAAAATTCTTGCACGATTGCTTCTCGTTTTAATGGAGTTTGCTTCCAGTGAGTCATACTTTGTTACCTTCTATAAAAATTCAAGGGACAAAGTAATGTTTACTCATTTATTTGAAATGTAGCCATTTGCCCCCACTTTTCTGTGATTGTGCAATTGTAGCTTACTTTTCAGCCAATTTCTCTTCCATTATTTCGCTGATGATACTGATAATATACAATAATGAATGGCTCAGAAAAATCTGAACACTTTTCTTTTTCTATGGCACTTGAAGAACGTTTGAAGATTTAGTTCTATGCTTATTCAGTAGGGAATTAATTATTCTATAAAACAACAAAAACTCACGTATCGCAGGAACACTGAGCATGTATTAATGTTTTAAATGCTGTCTAGAGGGAGATAACTTGTTTGGGAATCCATCTCAACAGTGTTGTAGAGCAATTAATTCTCTATTCAATGAGCACAGAACCGAATCTTCAAACTTTTTTCAAGCACCATAAAAAGAAGAAAAGAAAAGTGTCTAGTTTTTTCTAAATTATCTATTCGTATTTGGGAAAAGTCAATTATCAAAACTTTATGCTTTCCACAGGAAAGAGAAAAATATTAATATAGTTTTCTTTGTAAACTAATAGTTATTCTTTCTTCTAGTATGAAACTGAAATTTAATTAAAATAAAAATTTTTTATTTAGATATGTGAAACATTCCATCTACTATCTCAATTATAAATAAATCGTTGTTTTTATTTCTATTATTTTCCTTCAATCAAAAAACAAAACAAAACATGGGAACGTTAATGGGTCATATTTTACCGTATGTATCATACGACGTCTCTATTTATTGAAACTGTTCAATTTTCTTTTTTAGAGGTGCATTTTTTATTATTTTTGCAATATGGTGGGGTTTTGCATTAGCTGTAAAATATTTTCATGTACGTCATCCAACAAAAAAAACGTTAAAATTTCGTTCATCAACAACATTTTCTTGTTTTTGTTGTCCAAATATACCGTTTGAATCCTATTTAAAATTAGCTTTTATATCAATTGGTATTTTGGGTGAGGCAATAACGGGTCTTAAGCATCCGTACGATGACACACTACAAAAACGTCAATGGAGATTTGTGGAAGTGAATGCTCAACATATAACAATGTTTTTTTCATTCGGTTTTGCATCATTTTTCGAAATTTTGGTACATTCACAGCGATATGATTTACCAGAAGGCATTGAATACGTGACAAATATACTTGCCTATGCAATTGAAGGGTTCTTATTCAAATTTCATTTACATGGTCGTGATGAAATTGATATTCATGTTCATACATTATTAGTTTATGCAATTAGTTTGTGTGTACTGGCTGGTATATGGGAATATTGTAGACCAAATCAAATATTAGCCACATATGCAAGGATTGCATTCACATTTTTACAAGGTAAAAAAAGAAAATTGAAGTTAAATGTAAAACTATTCATTTTTTTTTCTATTTTTAAGGTACATGGTTTTGTGAAGCTGGTTTTATCTTATATCCACCATATGATTCTCCAAATTGGAAATGGGTAGCCAGTCATAGTCAAATATTAATAATAACATTAACATTTATTTGGCATCTTTTACTCATTTTGATATTTTTACTATTACAAACAACTGTTGTCTGGTGTATATTAAAACGACGTTATAAAAATAATTTGAATTACAATTACCAATTATTGCATATGAATGGTGCAGATGAAACAAACATAAATTCAAGTAATAATAATAATAATCATATACTTAAAAGTTTTATGTCTCTGAATAATAATGATAAAACAGCGATAAATATTGGTTCATCAATAAACGATCTTCACCACTATGATAGTGATGACAATGAAAGTCAATTAGAATTTGAACAGTCTAGTTCAGTACCAAAACCTTGACGTATCTGATATTATCTTTAAAACACTATTCACGGTTGTATTTCGCGACTGTATCAGAGATACACACTGGTTCATTTCTTACTTTTTTCTGTTATCTATTTTTATAAAAAGAAATTGTTTTATAATTGAATTCAATTCTGCATCTGTGATGAACGCTGCTCACTTGACAAATAACTGTGACTATGTGTTTGAATATAAGATAGCAATTACTTTATATTTATTTTCTCTTTTTTATTTTCATTTGTATGGAGACATTTTTACCTTTATTTTTGTGTTTGAGAATATTTATTATTATTACATTATAGTATTATGGTGCTTTGTCTGATCAAAAAAATTTTTAATTTGGATTTTTGTACGGACATTTTTCTGCTTACTTCTAATTTGCAATTGTTGTCGTTCTATGGTTTTTTTCTCCGAAATAATGTGTGTTCTATTCCTCAATTACATCTACTTAATAGTGGACAATTCTTAGACGGTGCAGGTTTTCTTGTAACGAGATGTTTATCGAAGAATAGTAAAATTATCCATAGAAATGTTGAACTAAGTAGTATTTGGTAGTATTGCTAATGAGGCGCTTTGATAAAGGAATAAGATTATATTCACAATATTTTTGTTTTGTCCGACTTTATCGATGCATTTGGTCATTAAATTAGCGTCGAAACTTCCATTTTCTGTTTCAGTATTTGTAATAATGTGAATTGTCTTGTATAAATTTTTTTGAATCTCTTTTATTTCATTCAGTGAAACAGTGCTTTGTTTTATATTGATTATGTTTTATGTTTAAATTTGAAACTCATCATCACATTAAACCAGAACTAATTTGTTTTGTTTTTTCAATATTAGTACATGATATGAATCGAATGATGAAAATGTAAAATTAATAATTTTTTTTACCAGATATTTTTTGGGTATTCTAGCAGATTTATTTTGTATTGTTTAATAAAATTGAAAGCAGATCTCATCATTATTACATGTATATATCGGATGAATGTTGTTGATGCGGAATAATCAAAAAAATATTGTTACTCAATGACTTTCTTCTTAGATATGTCATCTAGAAAACAATTGTTAAGTTTCACATCGTCATTTTTGACACTGAGAAGAACAATAAAACGATATGATAATAGTATGAGAAAATATTTGGACGATGATAGAAATCCTTATCTTAAATCCCAAATTGAGGGAATACAAATGAAAAGAAGCAGAAAAAGCGTATTCGATAAATTAGTCGATAAACGGTAAGTAAGTCATAAAAAAAAACGGCGTCATATATTATTGTTATTCCTTTAGTACAACAGGATTTACACAATATTTTCCAAAAGCTGTAAGTGTTGGTTCTTTTATGGTTTTTTACTTTGATTTCATGAGCAATTTGTTGTTAGGGTGAACCATCTATATTGAAAAAACCACATGTTTCTTATGATCATATTGGACAAAAACGTGCTTTGTATTTAAGCAAAGTATTACGAACATTTTTAGCTGATCGTATTGGAACAGGAGAAATCGGTGGTATCCTAGCTGGAAAACAATTCCATTTGACAAATGTGAGTTTTCTCGTATTTTCTCTGATTAATTACTAAAGTATTTCTATTTAGATAATTATTCCAGTGGATTTAAATCGTATTGAAATTCATTGGTGGTCGCCTGAAAATGAAACACAAGTTATTGAAGATTGTTTAAAAAACGCTGGAGAGGATTTGAAGTAATTTACACATTTATTAATCTGATGAGTTTTTTTGACTATTTTTCTTGTACTAGAAATGCTCTTCGCCTATCTCGTTTATTACCGAATCTGCCACCTGTTCTATTTAAACGTGATGATCTTCGTTCAAATGTTGAAGAAATCCACGAATTGTTAAATAATGCCGATATGGGACCAAAAGAGACAGAGAAAATAAACGATGGTCTTCTACCAGTATCAGATTCCATTCACGAACGAAGAGATTTATATGACAGTGATCGAACAGTATTACTTCAAAAACTTTCAAAAACATCTTCGGATATTTCACTAACTAATGCTGATGATGACGACAACGACGATAATAAAGACATTAAAAAATCGGTAACAATCGACGATGTACAGCGACATATGAAAGCATTTGCATTAACGAAAAAAATGAAAAAAGAACAGGAAAGTCGTAGTGCCATGTATGGTATTATGGAATTAGAGCATGAACGTAAACTAGCAAAAGAAGAACATTTTAGATTAACAGAATGTCGCGAAGATACAACTCCTACCCTAAAATAATTTCATATTTTTATGTTTACATGAAATTTTGATAGATAAAAATGATTTTTCAGTAAAAGCATAATGTAATTGTACTAGCGTTATATGTTAGAATAGCTATTAAGCAGAGACATTGACTTATTAGGAGTTCGGTTGTATATATGACTTTTTTATCTATGTTTTATTAGAAACATTTATTAAATAACGTTTCAATTATACGATATTTAACATCATGAAATCTCATGTTACTATCAGTATCGACTATACATGGCGCTAGTGTTTACGTGATGACTAGTATGTTTATAAAAGTTTTTAATGGTCCATTGATCGTATTCTCCAATTTGACGTTGTTTTTCACAAAATTTTCTGCTCATGCACCGTAAACTGATTCATGATGTATCTTACGCTTAAGTATGAATGGGATAACATCTTCAGCTGTTTCTAGATGAACGTGGCATGTTCACTTTGATTCTCTATTAATGAGTAAAGAGTTTTACAACAACACATATCACCCGCTAGACTAAACTAAAAACAGTCTCAGTACTTATCCGGTACTTATACTGACATTTAATAAAGCAATGCTTTAACTATTAACCATGATACTCGGTCTTAAAAACTCAAAATGGTTAACAAATTAATTGGCAATTATTAACATGTTGATTCTCTTGTTTGTTATCATAACAGAATTTTATTAACAGAGTAACAAAATATTTTATTAACAGTGAAGTAACAAGTTTCTTTCGGACAATAAAAAACTGGTTATATCCATGGTGCCTGACACTATGTCGGGTGTTCCAAAATATTTGCAATATTCTTTATTTTGCGCGTACTTCTATTCAGAAATATGATAAAATTTTAATTTCTTTTTAGATATGCCATTTAATTTTGCGCATATTAAACATTTTTCACATAACCTAAGAATAAGAGACTATAGAGAAAATACTGCGAAGATGCACTCTCGAGTACTTCCTAGTCCAAAGGACACTGGGAAACATTTATTTTGAGCACTTTGCTATACATCAAAGTGGAATAACTTTTAATAATAATAACACTTTGCTATACATCAAAGTCTGATGCTCCTCAGTGTCATCGTTCTTGTCGTATTTCATAGGTTCGCTTTAAACGTGTTTTTCTTACACAAAAACGCTTTTACCAAAACTCGTCCCGAAAACGAGAAAATTTGACTTTTTTATCTCAGCACCGTAGAAGTAAAGAAGCTATGGAACTTTCCCCCTTCGGATGTAACTATTTTCTTGGTCAAGAATGAACGTATTTTCGTAAGTCGATGATTTTTTTCTAGCAGATAGAAAGACAATTGAGAGTCGCTCGAAGGCATGAAAGGTATCATTTTTTCGCTTGTTCAGTGTTTTTGTTTTCATTCTTTTCAATACTTTACTCTGTCTGAAGCCGGTCGACATCGTTCAGGCTTTTCATAATATTGATCATCGGGGGATCGAGCTAGTGAGAGAAAGGTGATTGATTCAAATAATGATTAGCAATTAATATATTATACTTTCTTGCGAATATCTCATTATTTGTGCGATTATATTCTCTCTGTTAACAATAATTTGGATGTTTATTCGTTGACATTGAACGGCGAACAATGGCACTCGATTATAGAATTGAAAGGAGTCTTAGTATGTTAAAAAACTTAAAAACATTAAAACTAGTATCGTTTGCTTGTAGTAGAAATGATTTGAAATATTGTTTGATCGATCTAACAATGGAAACATGTATTAGTGACTGCTTTCCTCCTGTGACAACCATAACAAACGTCGAATGATTTGAAGGCATGAGAGAGCATGCGCTATTTTGAGATTGATCGACAGGGCATAAAACCTTCGATTGACGTTGAGTGTTTCAGTATTCTTTGTCGTCTGTTCGACTGTTTTCCTTTGATCGAGCATGTCAATATTGAGCAACAGTATCCTTATGTATGTGGTAATGATGAACGCCCAATCCTGTCTTCGTATTACTATCATACTCTAACTCAGCGCATCAGCTTTACATTCTAAAAGATTACTTTCACTTTCCCATGCTGCAGGAAAAAACAGTCATCGACTTTGACTCATAGTTTTTGAACAAAATAATCCTTCGACGGTCGAAATTCAGATTTCCTGTTTTTTTCCATTTTCTATTGTTATTTTGCCACATATGGTTTAGTGATACATTCTTATACCTCTGCATGTTTAATAAAAACAGTTTACATATGTTAAACATGACACTTGTCCTACCTCTCTTCTCTTCTCTCATCATATTTATTTAGTTATGGTTTAGTTTGGTTGTTTATTGACAATGAGAATCTCAGATGACACTCCAAATAAACATTAACATGTTAATTAACAATTGACTAAGATAGATATCAGAACAGCTGATAGTCTGTTTATAAGTTAAACAAAATTAGGAAACAGTGAAGTGTTTGGTTATTGACTATTTTTACATATTTATAAGAATGTTACGTCAAAGTTCGAATCATGCGAATATTTAGCAAAAAAATGAAAATACTCTTTTTTTAACTTTCTTTGACATAACAATAGCGTATAAACTCAGAACTATTTTTCTATAAACAGAAGTTTTTTATTTCAATCAGAACCATAGGAAACCTCGGTCAGGAAGAGATAAAACAATATGAATGATAAATTTTACATTTTTTTCACACTTTAAATGAAGTCTAAAGTCTCGATCTTACAATGAGTTTTTCACATGAAATCCTTTTTTCTCGTTTCGAAGACATTTTCATTTAAAACAAATGACATATCCGGAATCAGCGTGAAAGACTACATCATTTGATGCAGTTTTCAAAGATTTTCTGAAATATTTTTGCGCTGATGAAAAGATTTTCAATCACAGTCATTTTTGATGCCTTTTGCAAGATTAAGAAAAAAAGTTTCACGTTAAGTTTTTCTCGTGCGAGAATAATATATTCAGATAAAGACAGTCATTTTAAGTTTAAAGTAATTATTTCTGACGATAAAAAGCTTAATGTCTGCCTGTATAGTGAAAAGTTTCTACTGTTAGTACTCTCAAATTCAGTCGATTCATAAAAAAAAATTTCCATGAGAAAGAGACGTATTTTATTTCCAAATCAATGTCTTATGAGGCGAATGTTTCATGAATCTTGCGAAGCGTCTTCGCAGCTTGAGTGACTTTTCGTTGGTGGAAGATGTTACGCAATAGTATGAGTTTAAATCCATTCTCCTGTTATTAACTTCACAAGCTCTCACAACGTCTTCCGTCAAGAACGAAAAATCACTCAAACTGTGAAGACGTTTTGCAAGATTCATCAAACATTTTGGGTCGACCGAATTTACGATTGCCTGTTGTGAGACTCTATTTTAGATATCAAATCGGAATATTCTACATACGACCATCCATTTTTCATTTGCTAATCGTCGTATTTATCAAGTTCGATTCTTCTGAGACAAAAAATTATTCAAAGTTGAACTAAACCTTTTTGAAGGGCACAACTCCAGATGAGAGTAAAGAGCGAAGATATTTTAAGCACTATTACTATTTTCTATAGATTTACCTTCGTTTTTTATGTTACATTAATTTTTGAACAGAAGAGGTCATCTTCAGTGACCAATATAAGAATATTGGCTTAGAAACAAACGCTCTTTCCGACTCTCTCTCTCCCTATTCTGTGTCTTCTGAGAGAAAAGCCATCAGATTATCTAATTACAGGCTTTTTGCCATACACACATACATCATGCTGATTCCATTCACAACTGTAAACGTTCAGAAGTTAAAATAGAAAGATAAACACGCGTTGTCCGTTTTTTTCTAGACGTCTTGATGACTGACTGATTGTCAAACAAACCTATATGAAGAAATGAGGTAGTTATGTAATAACTACCTACTTATAAAGCTTCGAGACATAGAAAGAGACGGTTATAATAGGTGATTATCTCCATTGGAAATGAAAGTCATTGACATTTCAAATCTTCTCTCTATCGTGTGCATCGAATATCAATCCAGTAAGCAGCAATCCCTTCAATTTTTGATCCAACAATAGTTTCCTTCAGATCGGTATTCGAAATCCTGAGATATTTACAAATTTTTCTGATATGTATGTAACAAGAGAGAAATACGAAGAGAGTTCTAAACATTTTCTCGTAGAAAAAAGATCTCTCTTTAGTTGATGGAATGATAATCGTTAATATGAAGTAGTGTTTGTCGGTTTTTATTCCACCTCATCTATTTTATTACAATTTTTTGAAATTTTTTCTCATTGAATTCTATTAATAGCGAGAAAAAGAATAAAAACTCATAAAAATAGATGATTGATTTTCTCTCATTTTGTTAAATGAGAAAACAAAACGTAATTGCATAAGCCGTTCAATAAACGTAATACAAAAATGAAAAGACGACAATTTAAGTCTCTCCTCACCTCATATGCAAATGAGTGAAATGTAATTATTCTCATTCTTCAAAAAACATTCAACATCGACTTATTCCATCACACTTTAGAGAAGAAAAAAACATGTTTTTAACAAGAATTAATAAATCTTTTGAAAATACAAAACTACAAAAAACTGTTATTTCTCAAACAATTTTAATGAACTGCATACTATCCATACAGGAAGACAACTTTGACTGATCTCTAACGGTATCCTACATGACTAGAATCCATACTAAACGTTAACTTCTCTTCTTAACAAACGAATTTTGTTCATAATGTTTAATAATTAATAAAAACTTTTAATAAAACTTGAGATATTTACAAACAACACTCATGATTATAGGTGTGAATGTAAAATACAAAGTGATACTATATATATCAATAATAATGATTGCTTTGATTGATAACATGAGTATTTTGTAATGTTTGTATTTATTTTAAAATGTTTATCTTTCTAATAATTGGTATCTACTCAAATGCCGACTAGAGAAAAACATACATCTGAACTACTGTTATACTGACAACACAAATTAGTTGTACACTCACACAATTTTAGATTTACACATGTCCAAAATTCAACTCTCGTTTTGAACTACAACTCAAAAAACTTTTTGAATGTTCAAAAACATCATTGTTTTATTTTTTTTAACGTTAATAAATACAAGGTTTATATTAAATATTCGTTGATCCGCAAATAGAGACAAGAGAATTAGAAAGATGATGAAGAATAGTTAGTTAATGATGATAATAATGATTGTATGTCCATGTTTGATGTCTCGTATGAAATTTAAGATGATGATGCCTTGTTCATTAAGCATGTGCTAGAATCATTTAAATAAGTTGTGGATTGTATTTCTTTTTCTGCCTGGAATCGATCATTTATCAAAAGAAGAAAAGAAAAATCATTCATCTATATCACTCAAAACATACATAGTTTGTATCATTCTAAAATTTAAACAATTTTCAGGTAGAAGGAGGAGAGTAAACATTTTATCTCTCATACAGATAAAAATTATCATTAATTATAATATATGCATTACCTAATATTCAAATATATATCGTATCAATAACAAAAACATATGTAAAAATAATTAATTGATACTTCCGATTGTAATACAGTCATGTGCAAAATTAAAGTAATAATTTATCGTCTTTTTTTACTGGAGCAAAACAAATCTGAAAAGAAGTCGTCGTAATAGCTGGAAGACTTTTCGCTCAAGAGCGATCTATATCCAAGTTTCGTGGTTTTCAAGGGAAACAAAACTGTAAGAAACGAAATAGTTCCTGAGTTCAATTGGAAACTTTTTGCACATATCTTAGTCGTATAGAGGAAATCTTTGTTGACAAAATGAGACGTCTCCACAATATTCTTAACGTTAAATTGCAGTTATTACACAAAAGCGCCCACAGTCGCTTATTGTCGTTTTTCTGTTGATTTTTTTTGAACTAGGTCCTTTCGTATAATGAATGCAGTTTAGAGTTAAGAGTAGTGTAGAGACGTCTCACGTTTTGCCTGCAATAGTTTCTTTTATACGACTGTGTTAAGTACAAATAGTTTTGATCTTAAGGACTTGGTTTCCTACAGTTCCGGCTCTTTAGAGATCCCATATCAAGAAATTTTAATGAAAGTTGCATACACATCGCTCTTTTAATTATTAAAGTCATTCTCTGGATTTGTTCTAGACATTACAAACGGGCCAAAACAAATCGTTTCGAAAATTTTGCACAGGACTGTAAGGTTTCATGGAGAAACTGGTATTGTTTTGAAACTGCAATTGTTTTTATGACTTCTACCTAAGAATTATTTCATCTTATACACGCTCTCCAAAATTGATTTTTAAAGAGACTAATGAAACAATCATTTCGCATTCATCACTCTCCCAACACTACTCTTATGTAAGACAACGATTTATCGAGTGGAGTATAAGGTATATGGTCTTCTTCCTATGGCCTTCAGGTGTATGATTCAAAATAATCAAAGTCAAATAAGATAAATGATTAATTAAAAGAAGAAACGAAGAGAGAAAGAGAGAAAGATTACATATTTAGAACAGCACGTCTTATATAGAGAAGTACCATTTCATCACGCAATATGTACAAATAAAGAGGGGTGACGGCATTCTCTTGTTAAATGTCCTAATCGTTTGTTATTTTGTTAAAAACACGAATGTTTGATGGTACTAGTGATGAATAATTGATTTTCTTTTTTCTTTTGAAAAAGCTGATGACATGTTTATGACAGTGACGTGATAATTCTTACAAATGACAGGACACTTTTCAGAAGTTATCAACGCCATACAGTCTGAGAAAACTCAACTTTTACTTTAGAGTATTAGAGTGTAAAGTGTGTTTGGTGGAAAAGAGTGTTAGTGTATGCTAAGTTGAGCAATGTAACAGCAGCTACAGAAATCTATCACTTGTGATACTTGTAAGATTAATTCAGTTACAAATTCTTTTTTCTTCAAGAAACCGTTAAAACTGATCTTCTTCTTCTTCTAACTGATTTTTCGTCTGACCGTCATATCAAAATCGTCACGCACCACTATTTTTCAAACGTTTAGCTTGTCAATCATAATATGTAAATTCAAAACTTTTGGGGGCACCCTTTCGGTTTTTTTTTATTATTTATGTTTATTTATTTAAATATACAGTTGAGATGTGACAGTCGGCATCGTGTTTGAATTGAAGATTAGTGTCTTTCTTAGAACCCGGTTACATCAAAATAAATCCCTTTCGGCTATGATAGAAGTCAATTAGTCAATGCGGAAGTATACCAATCCCGGTTAGTGTGTGAGATAGTGCGAGAGAAATATCAATAAAGAAATTTTCAATTTCAAGTGTATTAGAATGATGATGTTTTTTTCGAAATAGGAGAGAAACTGAACGTACTACTAGATCATACACTTGATTCTTGCGAACTAGTTAAAGCTATCAAACTTTTGAAAAACACTTATATGTACGAAAGATCGACTCTTTTCAGAAAGATGACATCTGAATCACGCAATCTTAATGTTTTTCCATTTATTATGCATGATTGATTCATATACAGCAGCAGCGCATCTCTTCTCTTTTTAACAGTTGAACACATTCTTGAAAATAAAAGAAATGATGGCACAACAGGGAGTCACTCTGGTATAATGAAAACATAACAGGCCTAAAATTAAAAGTCAATTTAGTCGGGGATAATATCTTTTTAACACGTAATGAAATAATACAGCCACTTGTTGAAAATAAGAATAGCCATACAACATGCTCATTCCAGTACATTTGGTAGGAAAAATGCTTTTCTACTTTCTACAACAGGGTTGTAGAAGATGATGATAAACAATAATAATGAGATCATCATTGGCGATAAATTTTTGTTTGATGTTCGAATGCAATATGCATTCTCAACAGTATCATTTTGAATAGGATATAACTTCGACAAAATGTGCCCTTCCCCCCCGCCCACACTCTCACTCTTTCTCAATAGTCAGAGAAAATCATTTCTAGACGTCAATGTACAGTGGAATAGTTGCAAGACTTTGTTTCGTATCTGAGATTTGCATAGAAGAATTATATCTGAGCATGTTCTTTTTTTATGATGCCAGTGTTCGCGTTGCAATATTTATCTCTACTATCCTGAAATCGTGGTTAAACAGCGCGATTAGAACAAATCAGTTAAACAACTGCAACAGTATTGAAATCAATTCAGCATTCGAAGTATCAAACATGATCAAGAAATTTAGCTTACAAACGTATAACTGTTACATGGTTCAAATCTACCATTGTCATGAATATCTGAATTTTTTTATTCAGCACTCTTATGTTCTCTCGTCGTTCAGCAAACTCAATGTACAACGAAATTATAGAACATATACCAATGATAAGAAGAGAAGTGTCTATAAAACCGAAAAGAAAAAGATAAAAATCAAACATTGTATCGTAGTCTAATTATTCAATTGTAAGCCATGTAGAATGTGTCGATCTCGTCTCGACACCCAAACATTGTCCTTTTCAGTTTTCTAAGAAAGTGACAAACAAACAAATGAAGGCATTTTAACACATATGAATAGTTGAACATGTCAAATGATTTAGCATATCAATGAAGAAAATGTCTCTCTGTTGATAGTATAAGAGAAAACAAATTGCCTAAGAAAAACTGAGCTTGTCGTAAATCGATAATAAAATAATCTAAACAGAGATGACAGCTCCAAAGAATGAAAATTGAAACGCAGTCTGTTTTTGATACCAAAATGGTTATAGTTCTACGAGAGTATTTTGAATTCAGCAACACATAAGAAATTTCAGAATTCTTTGCAATTTTTTGAGACGCTCTTGATAAAAGATCGCAATTCTCAAAAAAATGTATGACTTATGGAAATAACTACAAGATTCTTCTATATGATGTAAACAGAATGGTGGTTATAACTAACCGAACTAGTAAAACACGTTAAACCTTTACTCCCAGAGTCGTGAACACTAGTGAACATCGCTATCGTCACGTCAAAAAATGAATTTTTTTGTAAAATATGCGCGGTCATCAGTCAGCGATTGCAGATAAGAAAAATTCCTCATCAAGCTGAAACAAAAGTATACAGATTTCAAGTTTGTCTTGTATAGTCAGCTGTTAAGCAGACTGTAAACTTTACAGTAAGGAATTATTTATTCCAAAATTCAGAAGATATTTGTACCCATTAATTCTTACTCTACGCGTCGTTATAATTAATTCATTCGTCTACCGCTGGCATAAGTTTCTTTCCCTGTTCTCTTTTTCCATCCAATTATTAAAATGGTCTAATTTGTTTGTTGATATTACGTTTCTTGTATTTCTTCCTCACCTTCATTCTTGGACATTCACTTCTTTTCTTTTCTTTTCTTCTTTTTTTCTTCTTTCGTTCGTGTGTCATCGACATCCTCTAATTAAAACGTCAATTCCGGCTTCTTATCTTGTTGTTTCTCTTTTGTCGTATCAGCTGGTTGAAACAGTTTGATTTGTTGTGAAAAAATCTAGAGAAGAAGAGAATTAAAAAAGGAGAGTAATCTATTTTAATGCGTTCATGAACAAACAGTCTTACTATTCATTTATCACGAAACTCATCGATTCATGATGAACAAGAATATTAATAGCGACCATGGTATACTTAATAATATGTTAAACTTGGAGAAATATTATTTACCATTACCTTCTTCAAAATCGAGATCGACGAAACGATCATTGTCCGTAATAAATTACAGCAAATCAAATATTCGAAAAATAATTGCCAACTCAATACACGGGGTACGTTTCGATTTTTGGACTAAAAATGAGAAATAAATGTTAAATAATTTATAGTAAGAGAAAAGCATTTATTCACTTTTCTCAAATTCAAACAACTGTAGAGAAAATCTCTACTCTAATCGGTTATGACTACGTGATACATTAAACGATAAGTTGTAGTAGTCAGCGACATTGTACGTCTGAAATTTCGAGATTTTTCAGTTTCCATAAGAAATGGTACATATTTGTCATCTACTGTTCGGTCATGAATCGATATTGAAAGAGAAACTGTTAGATCCTACCTCAATTTGAAATTTTAATGTAGCGGGAACAAAGAAAGTTCTCACATGGGACGAACCAAGTTTAACATTCAACTGATTTTCAACCTACAGTTTTCGTTAATTAAATTGAAGTGAAAGTAATCATTAAAAGACTCTACTGACGTTTGATGAAAGGTTAATATTAACGTAACATCGATAACCTTGATTAACCATGGATTGTTGCTAATACTATCGGTATTAAGAGTTAGCATATTTCGTTTTTAGATCTGTGAACAAGATTCAATATCAAATGATGTGTTTCCATTAACAATGAACTTATTTGATCGTTACTGTTCATCTTTAACTCACAATGAGTCAAGTGTAATTAAATCTATTGAGTTAATTGCTCTGTCATGTTATCAAATAGCAAAGAAAATTCGATATACTCTAATCAGTTCGAAACAAAATCATAAAATTAGTTTAATATTAAATGATTATACCGATGATGAAATATTTGTAAGTGAATTTACTGGACGGGAGAGCATGACTTAGTGGGTGTGTTCTTTCACACTTACATCAAAGGTATTTTGATGGAACCTCAGCATCCTCAAATCGTGTAATAAGCATGAGCAAGTTACTCGTGTCGAGTCATCTGATGGATGGCATACGTACGGGATTGTGATAAGTAGTGGAATAGTCCTGATGGAAAATGGAGCTGCAATTGATGACGAGTGACCATATGGATGACCACGTCAGAAGCTTGTCAGCTATAGGGAAGATATCGGGCTACGACACTGATACTGTCAGGACACTTCATTGGCATAAGTTGCCACACGGCGGAGTATTTTGCCTCTGTCAAATTTAGACCAGAGAACTGAGATGCAGTTTTAGTATTGACTATGGATATATTTATTCAGGATGCTGAACAAACAATATGTGACAAACTTGGTTGGGATTTGGCATCAATTATTCCACATGACTATGTCGATCCGATACTAGAAAAATTACCATTTACGGAAATGCAACGAATGAAACTGAAACAACATGTTGAGATTCTGCTATGTTTATGTACATGTGGTGAGTAGACAGACAGTCAACGCCCGAAAGTTCACTAATCTCAATAATTGACATGTTCTATGTAGAATACGAATGTTCGATGATATTACCAAGTTTAATTGCATGTGGTTGTATCACATCGGCTGTACATGGTTTATATTCACAATTAGACCTCATTCATGACGATCATTTACTTTCAAGAATAATTAAATCAACGAAAGTGAGTACACTTTTAATGATTAAATATAGACGATTGAGATGATCTCGTACTTTCCAAAGCTAGTCATGAATGCGGAGAATTCTTTCTCTTTTAGAATGACATCGATAATAGTCAAATGATTGTTGAACAAATTGTACAAATTCGTCTACAAGACTTACATATTCCTCCAACACCAACTGTAGAGACCCATGGTGATAAATCACCATCATCCAGACGTTGTTTAGTATCGATTGAAAATAATCAGAACAGTCCGAAAACACCAAAACGTACATCATTTTGTATTGTCAGATAATTTAATTGCTGTGACAAATACCGCATTATTATACGCGTTAGAAGAGAAAAACACAAATGCTTTCACGTTCTTTTCTCCTGTTGCATAATCATATATTTTATTCTGTCTATGTTTTATCATTATGAAGAGTCGTTCTATTTTGTTAGTTATTTTATATAATCACGTATAACTGTTGTAACGATAATTTTTCCGGTTTTTGCAGATATTCTATTTTTTCATTAAAATATAACAATATCGCTCTACGAATCATTCACCCTGTTAGCTGAGAACTTCAGATAAATACTTCTGCAAAATAGTGTGGAAAACGAAGGCTTTTCCACTGGTGGCTAATCAATGAGGAAGAAAAAAATAAAGTCACGCAATTGCTGATATTTTCAAATATTCTGTTTTAATCTAAAGAGAGTTGGAGAAGAGTCATATAAGTGTTTCTGATAAACACGTGGAATTGAATACTCAGTACATAACAAAAGAAAAGGGCGGAGAATTGTGTTCAAAAACATGGCAGGATAGTGTTCAAAAATTTTTCGCTGGATGTATATTTGTATTTTTTATCTATGTTTTTCACAAAGTTCATCAGTAAGTAGGATTTTGGCGAGAATTGTTAGAACAAACAAGTAAACTCATTTTCAAACCAGATGAAACACTATGAAATCTGAAACTCCGGTGGAGGCGGCGGTATTCATCTGAAATGCATCACTGATCTGAACCAATAATTTCTGACAAATTTATTGCTTTTTTCTATATCGATGTAGAGTTTTTGTCCTTTTCTAAAAATGGCAACTTGATAGCGTGAAAAAGTCGTATACAATGTAAAATCTTCAGCTTGATCCATGTATGTGTATCACAGGACAGTGTGAAAGCGAAACAATTATATTTGGGAAATTTTGATGTTTTGTCTGCCACTATCAATATTCGTTTTTGTCATTGTCGAAAAGAGAAAATAATGGGTAGCGCAGAATAAATTAGACTGTCAGTGTTTTTGAAATTCCTTCTCTTCCTCAAAGTCGATCGAGATCATTCTTATATCAAAAGATTCGCCTTTCAATTCTCTACGAAATGGTATATAACTGGTCAGGCTAGGTCCTAAGAAGGTGCGTTCAGTGAACATAAGGTTGTGTACTCCGAAAAAGCAGAAAATGTAAATGTCAAGAAACTTATTTCTCTAGTAATAAATCTAGCTATGGAATTGTATCAAAGCCGAATACGCAGTTTTGTAGCCCTCGGATTTCTGGTCTGTTAGCTCACAAAGACCAAGTTTGCGTGTCGTTCTGTTGTTTTGAATAATTGTTTTAGTAAAAGCGCTATCACTGTTTTCTTTAGCTTTTCTCGAATCACGTATTAAGATCATTCATCAATCGCCAATATCTCGAGCAAGAACAAATCAGTAAAGCTGCCGAATGTGCTATTTTGAAAAGAAGGATTTTCGCCACTGAATACATATCCAAACCGTTCATATTTGTTTTGCTGAGAAAGAATTGGGTTATTGTAACTGATACTTCGGTGATTTTATGTCGGCAGGTAACTAATTATTCCATTTAAATAGAGAGAGGAGAAAAGTGGAAACAAATTTAGTTTCCATCGAATGGAGGGCATCATAATACGTAGAAATCAACTTGGAATTTGGTTTGCACTCATGATTAGAGATGAATTTCAGGCTGGAAAAACTTATCAAAAAATGATTACATTCTTCACTTTTTCGAAGTACACAACCTTATGTTCATTGAACGCACCTTCTTAGGACCTAGCCTGACCAGTTATATACCATTTCGTAGAGAATTGAAAGGCGAATCTTTTGATATAAGAATGATCCCGATCGACTTTGAGGAAGAGAAGGAATTTCAAAAATACTGACAGTCTAATTTATTCTGCGCCACCCGTTATTTATGTATTATACATGTGCAGCTATGAAAACCAGCTATATCAATAAAGAATCTAATTTTCGTCACTACTATATCCGGCGTCTTTTATAACATCAGAATAAGAAGCAACTCTCTGAGCAAAATGATTAATTTTGATTAATAATCAGTAAAACATACCCTAATGATTACTGCTTAAGGATATTTAATAACATGGTTAGTCGTTGCAAAATTTAATCAGGAGTTCTGTCTTATTGATAACATAAATATAGAAGCATGGAGAGTAAGGTCACACTTTATTTAAACAATGCATACAAGCTTTACTTGCTCAAAAACTCAAAGAGGTGAAATAGCACTTTTCTATAATAACTACTTATATCACTTAAAACGTGTAAATCAGAACGGCTCGTTAATATACGTCTGTACTTTCAAATTCATTTTGTTTTTCATAGCAGCACATATATAATACATAAATATATAGTCATCAATCCTTGTTATATATGTTTCTACTTCTACTTTTTCTAAAAAGCGATTAATTTATATATATATATATTTTAAATTACCATTGTTGATAACTGACTGATTAAAAAGTGGCCGCGATGTGGAACCGCAGGATAATATAAATTTGCTCGCTCCAAGTTGCGCCCAATTTTATACTAATTGGATTGGCTTAAAGTTCGGGTGCATTTAGGAAGTAGCCCTTGTGTCATTTCGAAGATATAATTAACCATTTTGGTAAACATGTAAAATTTTTATGTATTCTTGCCCAACTCAGCTGATATACGGTTAAATACAGTGTTGTAAGAATCACTTCAATAAAAACGCACTGAACGTGATTTAATCACTGCAATATCGTTCCGCCCACTGAAAAAAAATTTACGAATTCCGGTGTGTTAACGTAGGAATCTGAAAAAATCCTGTGAATGTTGGATATATACTGCAGGTTTTTACATGTTACCTCGCCGAAAATTTTCCTGCAAGTTGGTGAGTATAATTGAGCAGGATGCTTGAACACGCTCACTTTTCAAGTTTCTTTCCTGCAGGATTCTGGAGAATTCTTCTCTAGGCGCACCATGTAGGAGCTTTTATTTGCGTATATCGGATATATCTGGCAGGTTCTTCACTTTGCATACCCTGCGAAATGTTTTCCTACCTGTCATCAATTGTAATACACAAGATATCTGACTACGCAAACCCTGCAACGTCCGCAGGATTTTCGCGTGATGATAAAAAGTAATAGCTTGCGGATTTTGTCCCCCATGTCTATGCTGCAGCATCCTGCAATCTTTTCTTACCAATGTCTCTCCAGGGTGACTGTGGTGGAACTCTATATTTTTTATTTTTTAAAAGTTAAGTACTTTTTTCTTATAAAGTTGCAAAAGCTTTTCTCGGGTCGAATATACTTCCAGAAAATGTGCACCTTAATACTTTTAACCATAATTTATCAATGTTTTTACCGAAGTTTTTAAGTATGTACCCTTCAACAGAGTATTCAAAGCTGAGGAAATTAGAATAGTTTGATATCTCTGCTTTGCCATACATCTTTTTGTCGCAATAGTGAGATCATTCTAATGACTTTAAGTACATATCGATGCAAGAAAATAGAATATTCCTGACATAAGAAAGATATTTTCAGCTATCTATTAATAGTTTGATTTGGTACACATGAAAACACGTGTTAGAATTAAAATATTAAGGTATACATTTTCTAGAAGGTTATCGGACACGAGAAAAGCTTTTGCAACTTTTTAGAAAAAAGTATTTAACTTTCCAAAAATCAAAGATACAGACAAGTTCCTCCACAGTCACCCAGGACAGACATTGGTGAGAAAAGATTCCTGGATACCGCAGGATAGACATGGAGAACAAAGCCTTTTTCTTTCAGTGAACAAAATCTTGCCAGATCTCATAGGAAAAAACTTGTGGATTGAATAAGTCAAAGAGTCTTGCGATGTTTCTTACCTTTACGCAAGATTTTTTCAATGTAAATCCTACATAAACTATGCTGGGTTCCGTCAGGATCGGTGGTATAAAAATCCTGCGTAAAGGTAAGAAACATCCCCACATATTTGAATACCGACAACCCGAGGGATCCTGCATGAATTTTGATTATTTTTTTCAGTAGGCGCCCCTGAGATCAGAGTACGTATGTAATCAAAAAATGAAAGTTCTGAAATGCAGCTCAAAGATCTATCTTTCGACGCAATTTTGCACGCTGATCCCGAATATAAACTCTGTTTGGTGGTTTGACTTTGATGAAAAACTTCAAAACCTGAAAACCGGTAAAAATGCTACTTTCATGCTTTCAGCATCTGAGGATGGGCTTTCGAATGCAAAGTCAGAAACATTTTCTAATAGCTCAGGATTGTAGGGAAATGTCCCCGCTATCGATTATACGTCTCAAACTCGAAAAACTGAAAAATCGACTACTCGCACAAACCTAGGTTTTCCAGAAACCAATTCGTTTCAGCGGTATTTTTGCGAGTATTGTTAACATACTTTTTTCCGTATTTTAACGTCGTTGTGGCCCTAGTGCACGAAAAACGCTCTGAAACGTTAGTTTTTTAGAGCGTTTTTAGAGCGCCGCGATCAGTACCATAACAGGTACAAATTTTCAACTCTAATGGTACTGAAAGACACAACATTCGATGCCGTTTTTTGCGCTGATTCCGAATTTTACCTTATTTTTCAATAAAAATGTTTCTGCAGTAAGAAAAACGGAAACTAAGTGGAAAACCGAGGTATTTTTCAAAACTTTACAACTTCGTCCAGTATTGTCCGCGCTAACAGTATCGATGTACTATATATAGATCAGCCTTCTGTGAAAATTTCATCGAGTTTGGACTTTCGGAAAATTTCGAAAACTCACTTTACTGAGGACCGCTCTTTGGAAAACACTTAAAGGGAAAAGAAAAATGATTTTTCCACAAAGGAAAAGTTAAGAAAAAAGCATTTTTTTATTAATCGATAATCTGAAAGTTCTAGTTTCAGAATATGTCCGATTTATACTCAATGTCTTCTGCTTTGTGCACGCCAAGGTCGTTATTTATAGCGCAAAGATTTTCGAACTAAATTTTGGAAATGCGTTACTTCACTAACTGTGACACTTAGAAAAACACTTCCGATTACAAGAAGATAGAGCAT